AGGTCCTATTTCTGGGTTAGCGGAGTCTGTAACCTGAAGCGTATGTAACCTGAAGCGTATGTAACCCAAGGTACCACTGTACTTACATGGTTCAATTTAGCAAAAGTTGTTCACTGGCTTCTAAATTCTCATTCTAAGATCTTCCTAGATCATTTCCTTCAGGACTCAGCTGCTTAGGGCTAAGCTACCCTGACCCCCTGTGACATCAGAGCAGCTAAGCCAGAGGGGACACAAATCTTTCAGAAATATTTAACCTGAGGCTGTGTTTTAAAATATACTGTCCCTGTTCTTTCAGCAACACTATGTCTGCATGCTGAAGTGCATGCTGTTCTTGGAAGCTGAGAGAGAGAAAAGGGTTAGACCTCGTACATGAATATAAGAAATCCATCCACAGTTCTTCAGTATACATACCTGCTTGCTGCTTATTTCATTTTCGGTCTTTCTAGAAATATAATTGAAATGTTCTTTTGGGTACAGGATTCCAATGTAAACAGCTTTTACCTGGAAATTTACCTATAAATTCTAAATCAAATGAATAATATTCTGCCCTGAGAGTTCTGTCCTAACAGAGTTAGGTGTGCTTGAACTTGTTTAAATTAGTGGACTCAGTCCTTTTTTCCCCTAGAAAAACTGGTGCCGGTACTCACCATGCAAGGGAGGGCTATCGGACACTGCCAGAGCATCATGTCTCTGTCCCTAAGCTGGGGAGAAACTTCCCTGGCTTTGGGAAGGAGATGTGAGGCTCTGATTGGGGCAGAAAAATACACCGCCAGAAAAAAAAAAAGCACTGAGTGGACTTAACCCAGATTTAACACTCTGTTGGATTGTGGCATATGCCTTTTTGTTCTTAAACTACATGTTGCTTTCTATAATGTTTTGGTAGTCCTTACATATTCTTTTTTTTTTTTAACAGCACTTGAGAGGCAACAAAATATAAAAGCAAAAACAGGAAGTTGAGTTTACGGATAAAGGATTCTTTCATAGGCGCCTCTTCGACCTGCAATTCCCTCCTGTCATATAGCCATCTAATTAGACTCACGCTGTTTTGGTTACGTAATAGAATTCCAGTGGCATGGCTCTCACTTTATAATCCGAGCCAGAGCCGCACACGGAAACGCCGTTACCTTCCCGCTAGTAAGCGGTCCCTATTTTATCTACTTGCACCCGAGAGTGCTTTCGAACTGCTAGGTTGGCAGGCGCTGGGACCGAGCAACAGGAGCGCACCCCGCCGCGGGGATTCGAACCGCCAACCTTTCGATCGGCAAGCCCTAGGCGCTGAGGCTTTTACCCACCAGCGCCACCCGCGTCCCTCAAATCCTTTCATTAGGAAACACTAATTCTCTAAGCTGCCCAAAATAGTTAAAGTACAGTAAGCAGAAATAAATAGTGCATTCCCAGAAAATACAGTGGCAAATAATAAGCATACTGTAATGATTACATTTTTTTCATGAAATGAATTTCTTCACATACCCAGAGAAAGTATTAATAATGAAGATGCGATTTTCAATCTGTCTTGTGTGCATGTTAGATGTTTTATTACCAACTGATTATCATAATAGATTCATATGAAAACTTAACACAAAATATTACTACCTTGTATAGTAAACTACTTCTATTCCTGTGAAACCTAACTCTCTCCCATATACAGGCAACAACCATTTTGCACGTACCCGACTGACATGCGGCTACCGACACACACATCCTTTTCGGCCCAGGAAAGGGGTGGAATGGGCAGAATGGGGTGGGGGCAGAATGGGCTTATGCGCTGACACAACTCCCCCATACAAATGGGGAGTTGCCTGCATTGAATCACAGGGATCTATTTCTGTAAGTCATTTTTGTAATTTTTTGGTATCCTTCACCATAGCTGTCCATTTCATAATTTTAATCTGTTCCCATAAATTGTACATTGGTTCTGTTTTAGAGAAGTTTTGCATATAACATTTTTTTCTGTTAGTGAGTATATAAATTTATTTTCTACCTGGCATGCTCTTCAGTATAGTTTGACATAGAATCATAGAATTGTGGAGTTGGAAGGGGACCACGAGGATCATCTAGTTCAACCCCCTGCAATACAAGAGTGGATGGGTGGCATATAATAATAATAATAATAATAATAATAATAATAATAATAATAATAATAATAATAAAAACCAACCATAGGGCTCGAATCCACAACCCTGAGATTAAGAGTCTCATGCTCTGCTGACTGAACTATCGCAAAGCTTTCATGTAAGGTCACCAAACCCCTGGAAGCTATTTTGATAGATGATCTTAGGAATGTGTGTTTAGGAAGGTTTATAGCCTCTGTATGCTGTTAGGTCTTCTCAACCTCAGCTGTTGCCCAACCTGTTTGCGGTTCAGATCAGTAAAGTTACTCAACGTTCTAGGTACTTGGTGGTGGTGATGAGAATATTAAGTTTATGAAGTACAGCTTTTTAGAATGTATAAGCTAAAAAAGTTTCCATTTTCCTAAGTAGTAGTAAGCCTATCTGCTTTTTGTAGGGGGGTGGTGCCACAGTCTGGCTAATAATTCTCCCCCACCAACTTGAGCACTGAAGCTCCCTGCTTCTAAGTCAATAGGTGACAATGAGAAATATCTGAGAAACAGGCCCCCTAGAGCCAGTGTCCATGCACCACTGATATTTGTCCCCACCTGTTGCTGTTGTAGGAAGCACTCCTGGTAAGGGGTCTCTAAACAGTGATTATATAGGGTGGGTGAGTGTAACGTAACTTCAAAGACATTTGCCAGAAGCACTGCAATAGCAGAACAAGTCAGTTGCATAGGAGAAATGATGGCAGAGACTTGAGTTATCTGTTTTGCAACACTCACTAGGATTGTGGAGGGGAATAAACTGCAGATCAGACCTAAATCTATTCACATAAAGCAAGTAAATCACTGCGTTCAAACAAAATGTAAGTTATTCCACCATATTCATTCATTTGCACCCAGTCACACTCAGAATTACCTAAACAAATGTCAATAGCAACCCACCTCTGTGTCTTGCAACCACTCAGCCGTTGACCAAGGTATGTTGGCAAGTTATTAAGGAAATATTGAATCAGTGATTTTGTGGAATAACTGAAGAATGTGCATAAGTGTATTCAGCAAATTTGTATTGACTACACTCTAGGAGATAGTCAGCTTTACCGTTTTGATGTTCAAACCAAAGGCAAATCATTGTCATCTAATTTGCACCTAATTGCACATGCATCAAAGGTGCGACAGTTTGTCAAACCAATTAGTTGCTGAAGATTTAATCATAAAAATGAAGATTCTGAGCAAGAAATGTCAGCATAGCAACTTGTAGGACACAATATTACTGAAGCGAATTATTCTTGATATAATTGTCATCATCCCTTTATCTTTATGCTGTGCTCTTAACTCCCTTTCCTGTCATATTTCTTTTGGTTACAGACTCTTGAGTACTCTATATTTCTGTACAGAATACCAAGGCCTTTGCACATTTAGGAGAAAACATGATTGGGAGGGGGCGATCTGTAAGGAGATTTGGTGACCTAAGATAAATTACAAAAGTAATCATGTAGAGTTATCATTACTAAAATAATAGTTTAGGGGGAAATGTCTAAAAGTGACACAATGGGTATCTGGGGGGCAGAAAAGGACTGCACCTGCGGGCACCATCCACAGTGTCATGCATTCTGCCTGCTCTGCCATCCATGCATTCAGCACATTTGAAAAGGGCAGCCTACACATATACATCTGAAGGAGTGTGAGCTCTCTACCCACTTGGGAACGTTCACCATGTAGGCTTTCAAATCATGCACAGTATTATGCAGCTGTACATGCACAGGGTCTCCTTTTGAGATGACACACAGATTCATAGGAGCCAACTCCTAGGGGCCAAAGTCCCTTCAGCCTCCCCCAATAAAATATTTGAAGGGGCGGGGCCCTCCAAAGTTGATAGGCATTGCCATTCAAATGGTGTGCGTGTGCCACGTCTGGTGGTCAATTATGCAAGGCAGGGCTTACCTCTCCCCCCCCCAGATGTCAAATGCAGGTGCATAACATTGAGGTTAGGGCTAACCCAGGTGGTCCTCCTTCCTCTGTATGCATGCACCAAATGCATGGAGATGACTGTATGAACAGAGTTTGAAGAAGTAGGCCAATTTTTCATCTGAATATGGTCCTTACTAGAATAAAGAGAACAATGTTTTGAGTTGACACATTAAGATTTTCCCTGTAATTCATGTTCCACATGCCTCCTCTGTTTGAATTAGTGTGTTTGTGGGAGAGGAGGCATGGGTAAGTTCTTGTAGAACACATTCCATATGGATGGATGCCTCACTTTCACTCAGCCAGATGGTTAGCTAGAACACGGTTGTTCCGTTGGACTATTGAGACTATAACGGATTGGAGTTGAATTCCTGTATTTATTTGCTGAAGCTTATTGACATTTTAATAAGGCACCCTGATTTGTATTTTGCTGAATTACAGTGGCGCCCCGCAAGACAAACGCCTCGCAAGACGGAAAACCCGCTAGACGAAAGGGTTTTCCGTTTTGGAGGCGCTTCGCAAAACGAATTTCCCAATGGGGTTGCTTCGCAAGACGAAAAAATCTTGCGCGTCCCCGCGGGTTTTTTTCCGCTCCCCCCCCCCTTTTCCTAAGCCGCTAAGCCGCCTATCAGCTGTTCCGCTGATAACCCGCTTAACAGCTTGATCGCGAAAAGCCGCTCGACTGCTGTAGCGCTAATCCGCTAAGCTGTCAGTGGGCTTGCTTCGCAAGACGAAAAAACCGCTAGACGAAGAGAATCGCGGAACGGATTCTTTTCGTCTTGCGAGGCACCACTGTACTGTCATTTCAATTACCCGAATTGGATTTTAATTATTCTTTAGTCATCTTGTGTGCGTGTTTTCAGTGGAAAGTAGGGCATAAATGCCATAATAGGGAAACAATTCCGCTTTGACATCTTCCATACCAGACCTTAAATGTGTGCTTTCTACAGTGTTGTTGTTCAACGTGTTGTTTTCTTTTTAGATGTAAAGATTACTGATGAACTGGAATCTTCAGGCGATGAGATTTTGGCTGCAATTACTACTATACCATATGTCATTGGTTCTCCTGCTCTTCCCACCTCTCTTCCCGAAGATGATATTTTGGGGCCTACAGATCAGATCATTTTATTGCCTGCTGTAACTACCAGTGGTCCTTCTGTTGTCATTGACCAATCTTTCGAAGCAACAAGCTCTGGGTGGGCAGTGACTGACGGTGACATCCCTACAGGATTTGACATGGGGGTGCAAGATATTGCTACTGAACTAGATACGGTTGACATCATGAGGCCAGCAACAATTAGTGAGGATGGAAGTGGCTACTATGCACTGCCTGAAACTCTGGATATGACTCCAGCTCCTCCACTGAAGTACGTAACCACCAGCTCAATGACAACTGCAGCCAAAGGCAAAGAGCTAGTAGTCTTCTTCAGCTTGAGAGTAACCAACATGCGGTTTTCCGATGACCTCTTCAATCGGAGTTCCTCAGAATACAAAGCACTCGAACAGCAGTTCATGCAGCTGGTAGGTGGCAAAGAATTGGCTTTAATGCATTTATATTTGCAAGCTGTTATGCGCCCCGTGCCATTCCCCAAGTTAAAAACAAATTCCAAATAATGAAAAGCATTTTAAAAAGAAAACTGGCACCTACTCTTCTTACTACCCAACCCTGTTCATGATGCTAATCACATGTGATGAAGGGCAGCAAAGAAATTTAATGATGATGATGTAGTTTCAACCTTATCCCTGCCTCAACTTGGGTTGGAAGAGGAAGTCAACTCACACTTAACGGCAAACCTAACCTCTGCTTTCTGAAACAATAGAAAACCCCAAACACACTCATTTTTTTCAAAATCCGCACTTCCCTGAATTTTATTGGGTTGTTCTTCACCTGAGTTGTGTATCTAGCTATGGTGGTGGTTAAAGTCTTCCTCTCTAACTGTGGCTCTATCACCAGCACCTCTGGAAGAGGGGAAGCTGGAGAGAGAATATTTTAACTTCTCCCACAAAGCAGAGCTCAGGAAGCATGAGAGGATAGGGCCTCCCTTTTAGGTGTGCATGAAGGGAAACTGGCACCAGAAGATTAAAAAAAAATGACATCCGTTAAACTACCTTAGCTACCACTGGTCACTCCTGCTGCCATTGCAGGGCGGAACTCTTTTGGCTTCCTCAGCCAGAAGGTTGAGGTTGGAAGTGTGAATAATCATAGCTGGAGGGTGCTAGCTCTCCTTGCCACAAAAGAACATACAAAACATGTTCAGTTATTGGCTATGCAGTGCAGAGCTCCCAGTATACACAAGTACTTATTGTTGACTTTGGCAGCTGGGATATAAATATCCAAGGCTCACTTTTTCCTTTTAACAACTAACAACACGCAAAACCCTCTTGAAACCATAGAACTGCCTTGCCTATGGCTGCAATTCACATTTAAGCATGTTTAAGTCCCATTGATTTCTTTTTTAACTGGATTGCTGCCTTTGATCTGTAAGCACTGCCGGAAGACGGACTTCCTCTTTTTTGTTTCGTCTCCCGCTTTCAGCCAAATTTCTAAATTTGTAAATCCAAAATAAAGTTGCTCTTACTCACGAGTAGATAATTTGGAGTCCAATGATTAAGGAAGAAAGGTCGGCGCTCATCAGCAGCAGCCGCGC